AAAATATTAAAAAAGAGTACATAAATAAATTCTAACTTCCCAATTAACCCTAATCCTAAGAACAAATTAAGTGGTTTCCTTTATTGGTAAAAAACACCAATCAAGGCTTTTTTCCCTATTCTTGTCTCAACTAGAGAATTAAGTTTGATTTACATAGGATCACAATTTATATGAGAAGATAAAAAAGCAGAAGCAGCCTATCAAAGGCATAATTTTTACTTTAGGTGCCTAAAGCAAAGAGGCGTGAAGCTGACCTCCAGGAACTCCTTTTTCAAAGGTATATTCCCTGTTTCTAGAACCCAGATTTGGGAAGAATGTCCTATAGAACCTCTTTTATTCAACACAATTTCTTAAATAGACAGTCCTTTAAAATACAGCTAGCAATGATTCAAATATTTTATATTTGTTTAAAAGTTTGTGATTTCCAATATTCTCAAACAACTAATTAGTCCTCACTTAAAAAAAAAGTTATCATTAGCCTGTTTTGATAATGGAGCACAGTCAAGCTCAGCTAAGTAGATTGCAAAAGATCTGATCATGAGATAAGAAAGCCATATCACTGGACTGTAAATCCCCTGCTTTTTCCACTATCTCACCTGGGAATGTGGCACAAACCTGTTTACAAGTGACCAAAAAGCCAGAATTTATGATGCAAGAAGTTTTATATTCATTCAAGGTATGTATTTTCTCTGCCAGAGTATCTTTTTGGCTGCCTTTGTCTGGTTAACGCCTTCCTAGTTTATTATTCACGTAAAGCTTCATGTTTCATTTTATTTTTTTGAGGTCTTCTTAGACCACATCAAACCCTGCTTCCTAGCTCAATCAATTTTAAATTTGTAAGCTTACTGTAAACTCCTTAACACAACTGCTATTGCTTATGATGCAATCTCAAGCAAACAATACAGTGCCTGACACAATGAAGACAGACATAAAATGTCAGCCGTTTCCTAAGACCAAGATTAGAATCTGTACCTATCACTATGGTGCCAACACTTTTCTTTTTTTGCTTTGGTGCTGGGCTTGAACCCAGAGCCTTACACGCCAGCTATTGTATTTTCATTTGAACCGTACAGAATCCCCTATACATTCAGCACCAGTACCCAACTCAGATTACCATGGTGTACATGTCACAAATAATGAACAAATATTGATGCATTATTAAGTAAAATACACATTTTAGTTGTTTTCAGTTTCTACCTATTGCTTTCTTGTGCTCCAGAATCCCATCCAAGATCCACTGTCATGTTCCGGTAGACACCCCTTGTTTGTGCCAATTTCTGACTTTCCTTATAGAATGCCCATCAATGGGGATTTGTTTAATGTTTTTTTATGGTCTGGGGTTGTGGGTTTTTAGGAAAAAAGACACAAATAAAATGCTGTCATTACGTCCTATAGAAGGTAAAAGTTATTAATATAGTAACTTATCACTTCCAATGTTTATCTTAAGCACCAGGCTGAACTGATCAGGTTATTATCCTTTCAGTTACCTCCTGATATCATAGTATTTAAAAAGAAAAATCACTATACAGCTTACACTTCTGAGAAGTGCTGACTTTTGTACTTTTTGTCTAAATTTCTATTTTTCAAAGGGGAGTAAATACATAATCTTTTGGAATCTCTCTGCAGATTATCTATTTTATCCCATTTCTTTCCTTTTTCAACCATTTATATCAGCATAGACTCATGGGTTTTGAATCATAATCCAATACTACTTAAGTTTTTTTCTCAACTTGTTCCAGCTTTCACTATGGCAAGCTCTTTCAGCTGGTGCTGACTTTCATTTGACATATCTGCAAATGACACATCATTTTGTTTTTTGAACATTCCTTATTTTTTGGTTCTACAGGATGCTCTTGGTGGTTTTTATTTGAGAAAGGAAATAAAATCTGGATACTGGTTGTAGATTTAATTTTAACATATGAAGTGACTGTAATGAATTTTTCATCTCCATAACAATACTGAAAAGTAGGTTGATTTAAATACCACTGTCAACAGGAAAGGAAGCAGAAGTAAACTGCTTGCAAAGGCTAAGAGCATGCCTTTAACTAGTCAGGTACTTTCCAAAGACCAAGTCAAGTGTTCCCAAACTCTTTGGGAACTATCTGTATCCATAATTGACCTGATACTATCCAGATAAAGGGAGAGACTATTACTTGATTCTATAGCCTCTTGAAGTTAGCAAATAGGGTCAAGAGTCCAGTTCTGCCTCTTTATTCATTTATACAATATTTAATGATAGTATGGAGTGAGGAAGACATTAATCAGGGATGACCTTTACAGAAGGTGATATTCTGAAATCTAGAATCCTTGTGGAAATCTGTTAGGAAAATTCCAGATTCAGGGAAACACAAGGAAGCAAGGAAACACAAGCAAGCAAAATGTAAATTCTTAATGTTCAAAAAAGAGTAATAATAGTGCTGCAACTTAGTAAGATGGGGAGAATGACTCAGAAATAATGTTGGAGAAGTGGAACAGTCATAGGGTAGGTTGAACCTTTGCATTGTTCCAAATAAAGGAGAGAAATTTGGTTTACATTTTAAAAAGATCATTGGTAGCTGTGGTGAAGCTGTGCAGGAAGGTAAAAGTGAAGGCTAGGAGGTTAGTAAAGTATTTTACCATAGGAGTAGAGTTGGGGACTAGGGTGACTGCAGTGGAAATGAAGATAACTGGGTAGGTTCAAGGTCTATTATGTAGGAGGATAAAGACATAATTATGTTGCTAATGTACTGGATGTTGATGACTAGGGAAAGTGAAATAACAATACCCTAGGAATTAAGGTTTGAGCCATCCAATGTACAGCCTTATTTACAGAGTTGGGGAAAGACACTGACTTTTTCTCAAAGTCTGTTTCCTCATCTATAAAATGGGAGGAAGAAATTAAACTCCTTATACTCCTCAAGTTGCACATCATTAACATTTAAAAGCAGTAAAATATCCTCCAAAGCAAAAATTTGGGAAACAGATCCAAGTTCAAATGAAAATACCTGCCCAGCCTTTGTTAATTGGAACAGTGTCCTTCCATTACTATTCTCATTTTCCCTAAAACAGATACTAATGATACTCAAATACTGCATTTTAAAAAACTCTTTATTAACCAACTCAGTTCAATCATGAAACAAGTGGTATTATGACAAACTCTACAAATCTGACCTTCCATTTAACTTCCCAATCTAGACACTCTATAGAAGCCACCATGTGCACAAGGCTACACATGCTCATTCCTTAAGAATCTGAGAGCCAAGACCTATGGCCAAAGCTGTAAATCAGCCATAATCCTCAACAGAAAATTTTAGGAAAGCCTACTTTCAAAAGTATTTGGATGCGATATTTAGTTTTCTCAAATCTGTAAACAGGTAGAAATAAAACCTTGGAAGCAGTAAATGCTTTTAAGAGAGAAAGGTAGTTAGAAAACTGGAGGGAAAAAAAATTCCATCATAAAGACATCAACGTTCAGAATTTCGAAGGCAGAGTTAGGTATCAGGATATTTTAGAAGTATATATTATTGAACCCGTTAAAATTAATTTCTTTTACTACTTGATTCCTTTTCTAATGAATGAGACATTACCAAACACTGGAATACAGATTTGCTATTTTTTCCATTTGGGGCCATTTGTGAGGTAAAATATGCATTAGGACTTCATTTAGAGATGGCAACAAAGAAGATAAAAATAAGCGTTGGAGTGCCCTCCAATCTACCTAAATTTTGTAATAAAGGACTATGTAGCTGTTCAGGAATACAACCAAATAAAAATCACTTTTTCAATTCTCACAAATTGGCTAAATACCCTAGACAAATTCACAGGTTTGTATTAAAAAGTGCTTTTATTTTAACCCTTCCCTCTCGAATCTAGGCCTTGAGATTGAGTTACAGAGCAAAAAGAGGGAAAAAAGGATAAAACTGACGTTTTTGTCTGGATGTCCCAATGGAGCTTGGTCCGATGTGGGACGGGGGGGGGGGGGTCCTCTCCATTTGGCGGGAGTGGGGAGGAGACCCTGAAAATCCGGCGGGGTGGGTGGGCCGTCCCCTGCGGGCGCGGGACTCCGGAGGCGGGAGATCACCGCGAGCAGGATCTCCCGCGCCCGCCAGCCAGCCCCAGGAGGAGCATCCGGGAGCGGGCTTGGGCTGAGAGGTGTGCGTGGATGCAGAAGAGGGGGCGAGGAGAGAGACGCGAGGAGAGAGACGCGGGGAGAGGGACGCGGGGAGAGGGGCAGGCACCTGGCGGCCCTGGGGTGTCCCGCGCGCAGCCTGTCAGCTCCAGCGCGGGTGGGGGCGGGGAGGGGGCATTTTGGCGCCCATTCAAGCGGGTGGGCGGGCCGACCTTCCCGGGATTAGGTGCAGCCTGGTCTGCCACCGCCCTACCTCCCCGCAGCTCAGCCCAGGTTCCGCATGGGCGGCGGGACCCCGCGGTTAGCCACCGCTTCCCAACACATCTGGCCTCCCCTTTGAGAACCCCCGACTTCTCTCTCCCCCCCATCTGAGAACCATCGCGACCGTCGCCCGCCCCAGGGTCCTGCGAGAGGCCACGCGACCAGGCTGGGGAGAATGCAGGGTCAGGTGTAGCAGACTGCGTCCCTCACCATGCACCCCTAACTGAATGCGCTACTACACTTGGGTTCCCCTCACTCACCGTCTGGGCAGCGAGGGCACCCGGCGGCTGTCAGCGCGCTGGAGCTACAGGAGCAAGAGCTGCAAGAGCAGGAGAAAGGCCGTGTGACGCAGCTGCAGGGGCGCCAGCTCATGCCAGTGGACTTGGGGTCCGCCTCAGGTGTGGTTTCGGCCACACCAGCGGCGAAGCGAGTGCCTGCTTCACAGGGCTGTAGTTCTTAAAAGGCGCCAGCTGGTACTTTTAAAATCTTTGAATTTGGTGCCCAAATCCTCGCGGCCCAATGAGGAGCGTCTCTCGCACGCGCGCGCCAATAGGAAGGCAGTGGGAGGGGACGTCCTCGCCCACGCCCAATTGAAGGCTGCTGAGGCGGGGCCCAGCCGCGAAGCCCAACCCCCTTCCATCCTGCTCCACTAGTCCCCAAAGATGCTGCAGCCTGGGCGGGGCCTAGGAGTACAGGGAGCCCGCGGTCCAGCTGCACGTGGAGAGAGCCTACCACGCATGCGTACACCCTCCGCAGTTCACTCCGCCGTCCTGGGAACGGCCCTTCTTCAAGCCCCATTATTAGCCAGAAGACAGCTCTGGTTTCTCCGAAGATCTCTGACGGGAACAAACGATATCCAACGTTCTTCGATCGTCTCACAAGCGGGAGTCCGGTGAGCGGCGACTCTGGTCGTCCGGGAATCCAGGCTTTCCGGAAGACGAACCCTCCCCCAAGCCCTACGGAGCCCGCCTCTCTAGGATTTAGGCGCGCTCACCTCTCCCTCCTAATTTTGCCCCTCCCCTCGTCTAAGGCCTCTGCGCAGGCGCTTTTGGCGGGAGGCCAGAGAGTTGGCGGGTTGGCGCTTGCGCACTGTAGTGCCCCGAGGTTCCCTCTTGAGCGGGCGGGGCGCGGCGGGCGCGGAGCAGGTAGCGGTACGTAGGTGCGCGACCTTGTATAGAGGCGGGGCCCCTGAAGCTAGTCGCCTTGTGGCGGGAGACTGGAGCCTGGTGTTTACGCCTTCCGGCGTGGCGGAACGTGAATCCTTGCTACTGCGTTTACGTGTATTTTCGGCTGTAGTTGTTCAACCACCATTGATTCCCCACCCCCCACCCCGACGTTAAGTGTACTGAATTTGTATGTATGCCTTCCTGATTTTTCTTTCCGTGCGCTAAGTGCAAGAGACATTAGTGCTGTTCAAAGAAATAAAATTCCAACTTTCTTGAACTGAAGACCTCTGGCCGGGTGAATGTTTTTCCTAGCGATGACAGGAGTGGATGTAGTAATTGTTAAATCTTTGCTGACATATTGCACCATATTATTACTGATGCCGAACCTGGTATTATTTGAGCATGCACCTAAGTGGTGAGGGTGCATTCCTTGGACTCAGGTTTTGGCTCCTTAAGTGAAGCTACAGGATGCATGCTTTCAAAAAACCCAAATCCCCGCCTTTTACTATTTCCCCTCCTTTAATTTCCTGTAGTCTCAGGAAGGGAGAGTTGGCAGTTGGCTTTCAGTTAGTGTTCAATGCAATTGGTTCACACAGTTCCTGTGTGAGGCAGGACCAAGATTAGGATGAGTCATACAAGTGCTGGCTGGATCCATCTTTACCTAAAATTTTTATAATTAATTCATATTTTTTTGCATCTTCTTTTTCTAATGTTCCATTAAAGTAATATTAATCTTGGGTACTAAAATATGTTAGCCCCTTAAGTTTTGTACCTGAAGCAGGTGTCCCATTCACCTTATTCTAGCCTGACTCTGGTGGTAGGTCCTGGAAATAATGGGTTAGAAAGACAAAAGTCTTTCTAAATTTACAAGAATACTAGTAAACATTAAGAAACATTAAGACAACATAAAACAATGAATCAAGAATGGGGAGGAGAGAGACATAGGTTTTAAGAACTTTGGAGGATCAGAACAGTTTCTGACGCTTTGAACCATTGTCTACATGTTGAGCTGGCAGTGCAGACAGCTACATGAGCTGGGAAGACCAGAATGCCTTGCTAGAACTCATTGAGCAAGGAGGAAAGTGGAAGATAATTACCAGAGAGGTAGGGAGAAGCTAGATCCTGTAGGGTGTTGTAGGTTTCCATGTAAACTTTTAATTAAGAGTTTTTTCTTGCTTTGAGTAACTGTCCAATGGGTTTTAGCATAGGAGTTGCTGAGTGAATATTAAAACTATATAAAGTTCTTTTATGTACTGTGCAACTAACATTAATAACTAATGTTAATTCGTTAAAGATGTTGGCATTATTTTTATTTTATGGTGATTGTGCTTTGAAGTCATTCTCACTTTGTGGGAACTAAAACTGCTGAGTGGGAAGATTTCTGACAAACAGTCCTCACATGGTAAGATGAAAGGTTCAAAGGACCAAACTCATGACAACTAGGAGTGAGATTCAGAAAGTCCATTTACTTTTTTCTGTTATGCTTTGGAACATTTACTGGGGTCTTGGTTGTTGACTACATTTTTACATTACTTCCCTGTTTGACTTTAGAAATCATCTTTATTCACTTTATTTTCAGATATGGGCAGAGGTAGGAAATTTGAGAGTGGGGAAGGGTTCTCATTAAACTAGTTGAGCACATGGAATATAACCTTTGTCTCTTAACCACCCCTTACAAGTGTTGTTCAGCAGGATCCCCCCCCCCTCTGAAAAAGGCTGACATATTATTAGAAAAATCAAAATAACTTTAATAAGGTAATATAGTCAAGCATAGTTAGTCACATGTTGGAATAATTTGTACCACTCCTTTTCAGTTTATTACTTAAGTGATTTGAGCTTTGATTATTCTTAACTGATACTTTTAACAGGCTCATGACACCTGTTAATTTCATCTTTAGGGATAAAGTTAGAAAATGTCAGTAGAAGCACAGACCTCTTTTTTATGCAAATCAACACCAGAGTTGCAGGGTTTTTAGGTGCAAATGAACTCCTTAGAGAATTGCCCTTATTCTTGGTGATCAACTGCTCTTTGCAGACTTAGTGCATGCAAGACATATAGGGTGATGTATATGGGAATAATTGAAACATGGTATACTTACCCTCGTTGCTTAATATTTGTGGGCTTGCTTTATAACATTAAACATTTTTTAATAAAGGAGTCAGTACAGGATGGAATTAGGTGCACAACATAAGGGTATAATACAACATTGGATGGATCAAATACATTTGAAGTTACAGTGAGGAATTTTTATAGAACACAGGTTGATTCTATGCCAGGATAAGGGAGTAATCCATAGGACAGGGTTTCTCAACATCAGCACTATTAACATTCTAGGCTAGATAATTTTTTTTTTTTAATTGTGGAGTCTATGCTGTGCATTGCAGGGTGTTCAGCAGCATCACTCATCTCTAATTCACCTTCCCAAGGTGTAATTGTCTTAAAACATTGCCAGAAATTCCATGGGAGTTGAGGTGGGGGTGAAGCCTCCTCTGAATGAGAACCACTGCTGTGGGGATATCTTTTTGAGAGAATTGGAGGAGGTGGCTATCTACAGTATAAGGAACAAAATGGAGGAAAGGTTACATGCAAGGGTCTTTAATTTGACGGAGCATAAGGAGGTGGATATATAAAATCACTTCCCTAATGGGGAGTCATTCTAATGCTGGATGCCAGTCATGGATGTATTGTATGCATAGTTGTAGTTTTATTTAGCAGTGGGGACCTATTACAGTGTTGAGCAAAGGAATGTTGAGATCAGAGGCTTGTTTTGTAGACAGATTAATCTGGAGGTTATTTGTAGCCAGCATTATACAGCATCTAGAGAGGATGCAAGGAGAAATCAGGTAACTAATAAAGTATACCAGGAGAGAATTAATTCTGGACAAGTCAGTGGTAATGGAATTGGAGAGGATGAGAGGACATAGATCTTAGCAGTAAATTGAATGGGAAGCAGAGGAATCTAAGGGATCTATATTTTAAATTTGAGAGAGGGAAAGTGGTACCATTAATGGTGAGTTATAGAGGATTATGATTTTTCATTTGAAAGATATCTATGGCTTCAAAACTGTCATTCAACCTAATAGAGTTTTGATTAGTTCATTTCAGTTTTGGTTCTTTATGAACAATACACCAAATTTCTAGAAAAAAATACTTCAGGTATTACTGCTTGTGATGTTATGTCCTAAAGAGACAAGAATGGTGAAAACACAATCTTATGCATTAATGAGATAGTGTAAGGTCTAGATAAACAGATGTTCCTTAAAATAGGGTTATGTCCCCATAAACAAGTTAAAAATGGATTTCATACACCTACCTACAGAATACCACACTACAGCAGTGTAGAATCTTGGGTGTTCATTGCCCTAATAATTGTGTGGCTAAGAGCTGAAGCTCCAGAGTATCCCACCCCAAAACTGAAAAATCCTCAGTAGTGTACCCACCTTAGGTTGGGCACCAGCTGACTCATCCTTTTCTATTCCTTAGCACACAATTTTGTCTTTAATAAAAGTACAAATAAACCAGTAAATTAATATTTTGAAGTAACTGTTGCCATACAGATATTGTGGTATCTTAGTCTGTCTTGTATTGCTGTAACAATTCCAGATAAGGTAATGTATAAAGAACAAATTTTCCTACAGTTCTGGAACCTAAGAAATCGAAAAAAAGATCAAGGCTTCAGCACCTGCGGAGGGATTCTTATGCTTCTAAGAGGGTACTTTGAGTGTTATGTCCTCACATGACAGACAGAAGGGCAAAAAGGGCCCAACTCCCTTTTTCAAGACCTTTTATGACAGCTTTTATCCATTCATGCCCTCCCTCGTGACCCAAACACTTCCCCAAAAGCCAAACCTCCCAACACGGTTGCATTGCAAACTAAATTTCCAATATGTGAATTTAGGGGGACACATTCAGACTACACATAGCATACAGTAAAGTACTATGGAATACAGATGAAGGGAAGTTAATTATTTATAGGGGACACGATGCCTTTTAGGTTGGATCTTAAATCTGCATTAGTAAGTGGAGTAAGTTTTCTAGGCAGAGGGGTCAACATTAGTGATGTAGGCATGGTGGTGACATGCATAAGCAGTGACAATGCATGGTTTTTAATTAATACAGTTGTATTGTGTGTTTTGGCAAACATACACAAATTTGAGGGATCTTAAAATATTAAGAATTAGGATTCCAAAACTGCCTCAGTTATGGTTCTGTACTCTTATCCAAGTTTCATGGGTTTCCAGAATTCCATTTGATTAATTAGGAATAAATAGTGAATGAAGTAGGAGCCCATGTCAGCTCACAGATCATATTTGCCAGTTATTCTGCATGTGTTTAATACACCAATATGTATTTTATTTTTAAATCTTATTTATTTTTTGCTGTGCCAGGAATTGAACCCAGGGCCTCACACATACGAAGCACACCTTACACTGAGCTACATTCCCAGCCTAATTTTAAATATATATTGTTAAAATCCCAAATGTGTTAAAAGACAGTTTTTAAAACTGACATTTCGATCAGAGAATTTTGAACAAAGCAGATTCCTTCCATGTCAGTGGGTTTCATCCCATCAATTGAAAGTCTGAACAGAATAAAAAGAGCAGCCTCCCCTAAGCGAGAGTTTTCTAGTCGACTACCTAGGAATGGAACTGCGCCACTAGCTCTCCTAGGTCTCCAGCTGGCTCCCTCGTGCTGCACATTTTGGACTTTTCAACCTTAATAATC